TAAAGGAGTTGTGTGCATTTGGTTGACACCCATAGGTCTCACAAGGATAACATGATGCATGAGTCAACTAGTGGTTTAACCAATGGGGTACATGTATTGATAAGTCAACTGGTCTACTCTGTCAACTTGGTAATCAGTCGGAACTCCAAAGGATTAGTCTATTGTACTCTCACAGACAAGATCTGAACTCGAATTCATCAGGGGGGATTTGATGTGTTGGCTGCTGTCAAAACATTACAACAGTCCCCTTAGAGTTAGACAGATACACATATATTCCATACAGGTCGCCTGTGCAAAGGATTAATTTAATTGAAAGTAGTATAATGATTTTATTGATTGGGTTTCATTTCGGACTGGCAGATCAACATTATGGTTAATTAATGGAACGTTAACAGTTCAGTGGTCAGCTTAATATCGGATATTTTGTAACGGAATATGTGACAGCTCCATTGATTGTTGAATGGACAAGTCCCGTTCACAAAATGAATAAACGTTGCCGTCGAAGGTGATCACTATTTCAGTAACAACAGAGATGTTCTCGATTTTGCGAATAGGAGATGTTATAACTTGACAATCACTCACAACCAATCACAACTTTCATATTCGAAAGAATCGTTTGTCGGAAGGAAGGGAAAGATTCAAGTCCCCTTTTTGGTAGAGCTCATCACTAATCCATGCGTTTGCCAATGAGACTGAAAGTTTGCAGATGATAATCCAGTCGTTCATAATATGAAGTCGTTGAGGCTGTCATCAGCATAGTTGCTTCACGGGAATGTGGACGGGGCCCAAACCCTGATAGTACTGAAGGGCCGGGCCAAAAGTGAGAGCCGCATCCACTGTTCTTTATCAGCAGAGAGGGGGTAACTGAAAACTGTGGAAAAATCTGAAGGCTGCGATCAAGTGTGAGTGATGTACCTTAAATTACCCGATAGAATTGGTCATAAGGGCACATGACATAAGTTGAGTGCCACATCGAAAAGCACTTTTACTGGTCCACTAATTTTGTAATGTTCTAGGATGCCTGGCTGCGTTTCATATAAACACCCTTATCTGGACTGACAGTACAAACCTGTCCCTTAGATTGTTTGAGCAATCGTGCTAAGTGGTGTTCAGTAGATCACATACACACACACACACACACAAACTTGGACCGATCAAAGCATCGCATTAAAGTTGTCAGTCACAATCCTTCTCCAGTGGCTTTATGACTTAGCCAGTAAAACACTTGATGCTTAGAGACATATTGTTTCTGTCGCTGGTTCGAATCCGGCTGAAGCCTATATCTTTCGCGATTGAGTCTCTTCTAGACTGTGAAACCCACCTCGCTGCATGTCAGTTATTTAATTTTTTGGAAACACACACGGTTCTGACAAGGTTCCTTTGTGTTTTGTAGAAATAAACTGAGATAAAAAAGACTTAATTTAGCCTTAACTTAGTCGATGTACTGAGATTTCCTGTAAATTAGATTAGTAAGCGGTAGCCTAAAACTAATGAATGCACCCTAATTACTTCTTTCCTGGTCAGGACCGGCTGTATTGTACACGACTATTTAGCATGAACACTCTATCACATTTCCCAATCTGGTCAATAGTGTCGCTAGTCAGAACGAGTTGATAGGTCATTATACCAGAGCTACTCGTTAAGTTAATCATCAGTAGATCCACTACCAAATTTCTGTATGTTG